GCACTGGTGCTCGTGTGATCTCTGCGTTCGTTGGTCCTTAGTCGTTTTCCTAGTACACACACTGCTTGCTAGTTCACGGGACAAATTGGCAAGAGTTTTACTAGAGAAAGTTGACAACAATGGTACAATGAAGTTGGCATGGCAAGACTACATCAAAGCTAGCATTCAGGTCAGTCGACTGCCAGCGCAGCATGGTCGACCCCGTTCCAGCACGACTTGGTCGACCGCGCTCCAGCAGTGCAAAGTCGACGGCGTGCCAACGTCGCAGGTTGACGGCGTGCCAGCGCTGCTCATGCAGACCAGCAGCGCACCCGCTTCGCAGGTGCTCGCAGATGATTGGCGGGCTGAGCCTCGTCACCTGCACAACGCACACACCAAGTTAGCCTGGCGCTGATGACTGCTTCTGATCAGCCACGCCGACCTCGGGATACCACCACCGAGGTCGGGCTCGCCAACTTTGCCTGGGCGACCATCGCACTCCTCCGCAGAACCTCGTCACCCAGGTAACCTGGTCGACCGGGCAACCACGTCAACCAGCTGCTCCCGTACGTGCCCGTCGACCTCCCAAGTCGACAGCCACCTCCAAGTCGACCTCACCAGGTCGACCACGCCCCTGGTCGACCAGCTCCATGTCGACGTCACTTCTGGTCGACCAGATCCACGTCGACCAGCAGTCCTGGTCGACCAGCTCCTCGTCGACCAGCGCAGTTGTCAGCCGACCCCCCAAGTCGGCTACCCAAAGTCGGCGTCACGAAGTTGACGCCCAGCTACTCGACGCCCAACTACTCGGCGTCCTGAGTCGAGGTCGACGTAGGCCCCTCCTTCGTCGACCGCCAGGTCAGGTCGACCACCAGCAGGTCGACCAGCAGGCCTGGTCGACCAACCACGAGGTCGACCAGCAGTCCGTCAGCCGACCACCCAAGTCGGCTGCCCCAAGTTGACGTCACCAAGTCGACGTCCTCCGCAGGTCGACTTCCCAGGTCGACCTCCCTGAAGTCGGCGCCACCCTAAAGTTGGCGCCCGTACAGTGGTCTCCGTGCAGGTCGACCTCCTCGTCAACCAGCTCGCCCACTGATGCAGGTCGGCTGCTCCCCTCACACCCGACCACGAAGTCGGCTCCACCCAAGCGAGGACGGGGCCAACACACAACTCCCGTTGACATCTGACCCCTCCTCCTGCCAGTAGGAAACACAAACTCCCCTGGAGGTAGGAGGGCACAGTTTCCCCTTTCGTTTTTTTTTCCAATGCATCTCGGTTTTGACAAGGGCGGAAAGTCACAGAAATGTGTCTTTTTTGTGATGAAAACGTGACTATTTTCCGTTACGGAAACTTCATGGACAGAAGAACCAAGTGAAGTCACGGAAATGTTATGTTGAACTTCCGAAATTTCATACAGAAAGTCACAGGATTGTGACTGGCAAAGTGATGTTCTCATCACGTTTTTGTGTCCATGCCACGTGGCCAAACCGCGTTTCATCTTTCCAGATATTTTTGCCAAGTGTCCGCATCGGTGATTGGCCGAAATGGTCCAATCCAATGTCAGCTACGAGGGTGCAGAAGTAGGTTTTGATTGGCTGCGATTCTGCAGAAGCAGGTTTTGATTGGCTGACGATTCTAAACAGAGACCCCACGACCCTCGAACCAGCGCATTTTGTGTACTTCAAATTTCAGCAAAACTTAAAGCACATATGACGACTCGAACTCGTTATTGATTAGTCACACATGCATACATCGATAAAACTGCACATGTATAAACTAGATCTAGAACGCCTAGCCAGGAACATTGTGATTTGTCTAGGTGAAAGGTCTGACCATATGGTCATACGGAACGGTATGAAACCTGCAAAAAAAAAAAAAAAAAAAAAAAAAAATCAAACAAAAAAACAAGGAACGCCACGGAACCTGCAAAATAATCAGTAGCAAATGAGTTCTAAATCAGATACACAAGCACGGTTGCGAGGGTGTTGCATCAGCAATTTATGACGCAACGCGAAAAGAAACGTAACTGCCGTGATGCATGTAGCGCCCACCAGACCCCACACCAGCAATCTGACATCCACTTCGATTGAATGCACGAATCGAGTGCTGCAATCTGCTCCCGAAGCTCACTATCGTTGGACATTCGCACACCTGTGATTCACACGAGGATTAGAAGAAAACAAGCCCCAGGTTCTGAAACACCCAAACCTTGCCGAAAACACACACATAAACGACATGCTCCCAAGAGGTGATGGCTGCGATCGCACCTTCGCTTTTGTGCTCTACGGTTCACAGAGGCAAGCGCAACGCGCTACGGGCGTCTCTGCATTTCCGTCGTTGTTACCCGCACACACTGCGACATAACATGCTCCATGATTGTGATGGCTGCGATTGCACTGCAGGCTTGTGGACTGCCACGCAGAGAGAAATGGGCAAACATGGGGAAGAGACCCGAGACCAGGGGAACCAACGGGGAGGGTACACGAGCGTGCTAGAGAACACATATTAGCTATCACAGCGTAGCAAACGAAAACGATATTAACTAAGGGGGGAACTGAGGGTATTGTCAACAGATTCTTCGGGAGCCGCGCAAGCCATCCATTTCACCGGGCATTGATGTCAGAATATGTTGTTTGTGTAGCCTGCAGTGGGGTACTCAATAGTGAGTACAGCCCCTTAGGGTTTGCTATTTGTATCCTGCTGCTTGCTAGTCCAATCATTCCTTCCTCATTTCTGTTCGTGCACACAACTCTCGCTCGTACTTGGTGCCTCGCTCTAGTCTTCCTGTGGCCTAGGCTACTAAGCCTAGGCCCGACTACTTAGTATATTTAACAATTGACCTAATCTGTAATTCAAAACGACTGACCGGGCGGAAGTTTTTTAACGCTAGTCGTGCGGACGTTGGTTTCCGAGCTGCGGAGATTAACTACCTGGGAGGGAGGTTGTGAGGGCAGGGCAGAAGCCAAGGGGGGTAGAGTCAGAGTGAGATGTGCAATTGCAAGTAGATGACGGCATGCAATATCATTAGGGACAGGCAGCTAGGAACCTGGAGGGCACAGTAGCTTCGACAATTGCTGCAAGGGTTGCCTAAAAAATAAAAACAATTGCGGAACTTCTAGATGTAAAGCGCGTGAAGTAGCCAAGAGCTCGGGAGACTTGCGTAGTGAGAATAACCACGTAAGCAGCGTGACTTGAACGAATGACCCAACTTACAAACTGCCCAGAAGGTTTGACAATGACTTGAAGCAGATAGCATTTGTAAGGCAGAGGGTTTGAAGAGGGGAGGGGAGGTGGAGAGAGGGTCGAGTGATTTGAGTTTCGGTGTGCTGATGTGTGGATAATGGAGGCTGTGAGTGTTGATTCTGTTTTTGTGCACTGCAACGATTGGTTGGGACGATTCGCTAGGCTCGGCTAGGTCGGTTCGGAGATATGGGTGGGTAGCAGAGGTGTGATGTGGCACGTTCTGATATTAGGTTGGGGTCAGGCCTGTCGCTACAAGGCATTTGCCCTTTTTGCCCTTGAATTCACGTGCTGGTTCAGGCCCAGCTCAGAGAATTCAAGGGCTGGCTTTGAGGCCAGCCCGCTTCCCTTACGGGCTGGTTGAACACCTAACCCAGATTTCACATAAACGCTCAGAGCCTTCACCCACCACCCTACCCCCTCATTTCCCTTGATATGTCACCCCTGCTTACGTAGAACCTCCATACATACTTCCCCCCCCCCCCCCCCCCCCGTTGCATGGTAGACCGGCTAAGTACCCAGCCCTCAGGTGTATTTGAACATCATCTACGTTCACGATGTGTTAAGCTCAAGTGCAGAAGGATGTGTAGCCCTGGATCTAAGTGTTGAAATTTGACTCAACCCGGATAATTAAGGGCTGAATTCAGGGCACCTCAGCCCGCTAAGCTTAGGACCCAAAGCAAGCGACAGCCCTGGTTGGGGTAATCTACTGGCCTAGGCGTAGCTGTGATTGGTTTGCTTTCGTCACTTACCAAGCTTACGTGTACATTTGACGGTGTAATTGAACGGAAATTTTCGTTTTCTGTGTTCACGATATCGACGACATTTGTTGCCTCGTTTTTCCTCTCATCGCAAGTTGTCGTGTGGATTCGTCAGTTTCGTGAAACTTGTTCACAAACTTGGTTTGGTGAACTCGGTCAGCAACACAATGATCAATCGCATACAAGCGCTCTGAACCACTCTTAATTTTGGGTCCAACCAGCCCACCCGAACGTGTTTGCGGCTAACAACTTCGCGTCACTGGGATGTAACTATCGCGTGACTTTTCAATCACATATCTGTCCTACGGAAATGTGACATTACCGTCACATTTCCGCAGGGATGTTTTGTACGAGTTCGGGGACTTTCTGTGAGCCTTTTTGTAGAAAAACCTACGGGAGCCAAAATTTTGCAATTGCCAAGTCCGCGATGTGGGACCACTCGTTTTCGTGCAGGCCCGGGCTGCCAGTACAGTTATCTGCGCTCCTGGCGCGGAGCTGCTCTCCGGTTTCTGCGAAGTCGGATTTTTGGTTGATGCCATTAATCTAGAGCAATGGAATGCCAGCCAAACACTCTGGACCATTATTCCGAAGGCTGACTGCAGCTACAGTCTGATTTCGCAGCTGTTTCGCGGGGGCATTTTTTGGGGGCCCGTTAAGAATGGCCATAATGCCCAAAATGCCCACAATGCCTGCCAAACTGGTCCCTGATCTGATTGCTTCCCTACTACTACCCCTCCATTCACTCCAGGAGAGTCTCAATGGTGAGCAATGGTGCAAACATGTGGGTTGAATCGAGTTCTGCCACCCCAAAACACCGTCATACCGCCGGTGTTTTGTAATAACTTGTTTCTTTGATCTTCTCTAGTAGTGCTAGTATCATATCAATTGCAGAGTCTGCCAACCGCACTCTGAAATCAAGAATACTAGAATGAATCCCCTTTAACGTTCACTTGAAGCAACAAAAAGTGGTAGTACATTCAGTCACATTCCGGCTAGGACAAATCAGGGTCTGGCAAAGACATGAGTGGCGGCAAGGCCGCTCGTGGCAAGCAGGCTCGTGGCAAGCAGGCTGGTGGCAGCATGGCACCGCGCAGCCCGTGGGCGAAGCAGCTGCTGCGAGAGCACCAGGCCGGGGCGGAGGTTGCTGAAGAGCAGCAGGCGGAGCTAGTGAGAAAGCTCAGGCTGGAGCTTGTTAAACGGCACCACGTGGACCTCGGAAGAGAGACTCAGTGGGCACGTGGGGATGTGGTGCGGGAGGGCCTCTTCAAGCGTGTGAAGGAGCACAACAAGTCACTGGCGGGGAAGCGGAAGCGAGATGGTGGTGCTGCTGCTGATGGTGGTGATGGCCGTAGCAGCACGGACGGAGACACAGGGCGCCTCAGCGGCAGTGGCAGCGGCAAGTCAAGGCGCACAGCGCCTGCCAGTCCTGCGGAGACCGCTGCCGCTACACGCAGTCAGCCCGCTGCTAGCTGCCCAGAGGGACGGGCACCCCTGCTGGAGTTTCACTTCCGTGGCACCGCCCGTGGAACCAGCGCCTCGCCGCGGCCGAGCTGGGCGGCATACTTCCACTCCAGGCTCTTGCAAGGACTGCCCCTGCCCCTGCCGCTGCTTCTCCCTGTGCCTGTGCTCGCCACCAGACCGCTCCAGCCGCCTGAGTCAGTCAACTATGATGACGGCACGTGCGGAGCAGAGGTGCGGAGCACCGCAGCAGGGGGGGGCATCAGTTGGAGAAGAGTCAGATCCTGAAAACTCAGTGTTTCCAGGCAACAGTCGGGGTGTTGCTGCGTTCTTCGTCCCTGACCTGAACCTGCCTGCTGCTGCTGGAGCTGGCGATGCTGGTGGTAATGGTGGTGGCAGCGGCGGCGCAGGTGGTGATGATGGTGGTGGTAGTGGTGACGCTGGTGGTGGTGATGGTGGTGACGCTGGTGGTGGTGATAGTGGTGACACTGGTGGTGGTGATGCTGGTGATGCTAGTGGTGATGCTGGTGGTGACGCTGGTGGTGATGGTGGTGGTGATGGTGGTGGTAACGCTGGTGGTGGTGACGCTGGTGGTGATGCTGGTGGTGATGCTGGTGGGCCAGCAGCATTGACAGGCTGTGTAAGCTTTGATTCTGCACGTGAAAGATATGGTTTGGATGGTATGGCATCAGCACATGGACAGATCACAGCTGCGTTGCATTCCTGTACATGCGGTGGTGCTTCTTTGGGTTTTAATGGCTCACAGGCCATCCAGGTACAGCAACAATTGCAAAGGCAGCAGCAGCAGCAGAAAGAGCAATAACAGCGGCATCAGCAGCAACAACAATGGCAGCTGCATGATCAAAAGAAACAGTCCCTTGCATTACAACCACGGCTGACTTAATTTGAGAATTGAGAAGTGTTTTGACCTTTCCAGCTTGCTCCGAGCCCTGACACCATGTTAGAAGTCATGGTTACCGTATAAGGAAATGATAACTGTAAGCTAGTTGCACGTTGCACTGCAAAGCTGGTTACATTGTGGACGAGCGAGTACACCATTTTCATGATACAATATGTATAGCCTGATAAATAGAAGCAGCATAACATCAACGTCTATATTCCGTTACTACGAAAGTGAAGAATTCTATCTCTTGTAAAGCAAAATCTCCTTAATGAGGTGTATTCTTACCTCCTTTTGATCTTGCTGCTGCATCCGAACGTACTGTGAACCAATAGATTTGCTGCTGTTGCTGCTCAGGGCAGAGCTCTTGGATCTGCACGAACGCATCGCAGATGTGACCAACCCATGTGCTGATGTCATGCCGTCCAACCCATTGCCTTCACATGCAGACTGAAAGAGTTCGCGATCAGAGAACGCTGTCCTGCAAGCATCACCACCATCACAACCACCATCAACAGAGCCACTAGCAGCATGTTCACTGGCATCAGCAGCAGCCGGCAGGTTCAGGTCAGGGACGACAAAGTCCAAGTCAGCTGCCGGACCCACATTCCGTGACACCGACGCTGAACATGCTCCAACGCGCGCTTTTGCCATCTGCCTCTCACCCACTGCTTGAAATTCTTTACTGAGATTGATTGTCTCCGGCAACTCAACCGACTCTGAGAAGGCTAGAGGAAGAGAGAGAGGCATCCCTTGTGAGTGAAGAAGCGGCTGGGGAAGGAGCAGCCCTTGCGAGAGCTTGGCGTGGAAGTATGCCGCCCAGCTGGGCCGAAGGGAGGTGCTGCTTGCACGGGCAGCGCCAATGCTGCTGCAGCAGTGAAGCTCTGGCAGCGCTGCGCGTCGCTCTGGGCAGATACTAACAACGGGCTGACTCGTTGCGGTGCTGTTTGCCTTCTTCTCCGTACCCTCTGAGTGCACCCGCTCTCGCCCTCCCTCTCTAATAAGAGTGGTGTGTCAAGTTTATATGCTATGGTCTATCTAGGCTGTAGTGGGGTAGATACTATAGGGTACAACATTTCTAGGTTTTCTACTTGTACCCACATTTCACCTAGTCAATCATTCCTCGTTCTTTCACATGGTATAGAGCAGGTTCCCTAGTGGGAACGTTTCCTAGCGCCCACCACTAAAATCGATTTTTTTTTTCCTGCCCGGAGCGCGCTTCGCTCCTGCCCGAGTCGCGCCCCGTGTGCCTGCCCTCCCGTCGCGTCCCCTGCCCTTAGTGGCCCGTCGCGCCCTCTTACGGCCCCGTAGCGGCCCATCTCACGGCCCCTCGCGGCCCCTTCGCGGCTCCCTCGCGGCCCCTCCGCGGCCCTTCGTGGCCCCTCTCACGGCCCTTTGCGGCCCCTTGCGGCCCCGTCGCCGCCCTTCGCGGCCCCTCGCGGCCCCTTCTCGGCCCCATCGCCGCCCTTCGCGGCCCCTCTCACGGCCCTTCGCGGCCCCGTCGCCGCCCTTCGCGGCCCCTCTCACGGCCCTTCGCGGCCCCGTCGCTGCCCTTCGCGGCCCCTCACGGCCCCTTCTCGGCCCCGTCGCCGCCCTTCGCGGCCCCTTCACGGCCCTTCGTGGCCCCTTCGCCACCCTTAGCGGCCCCTTCTCGGCTCCTCCGCGGCCCCTTCACGGCTCCTTCACGGCCCTGCCGCCCCGCCATCGCCGCCCCAGCAGCAGCAGCCGTCGCGCCGTACCAGCCGCCGCCACCACTGCCGGGGTCGCCGCCGCCGCCGCTGCCGTGACAGCAGGAGCCGCCGCCGCAGCTGTCGTGACAGCCGCAGCCGCCGCTGCCGTGACAGCCGCAGCCGCCGCCGCCGCCGCCAGCAGCAGCCGCCGCCGCTCCCGTGACAGCCGCCGCCGCCGCTGCCGTCGCCGACAGCAGGAGCCGCCGCTGCCGCCCTTTCGCGGCCCTGTCCCTGCCGGCGCGCCTCGGCTCTGCCCCACCACTTGCGGACCCCTACCCACCCGCCCTGGTAAGAGCACCGCCGAGCCGCGCCTCTGCTACTGAGCTACTGCTGCTAGCCTGCTGCTGCTGCTGTCATGGCTACCCCTAGCGTTCTCACCTTTGATGCTGAGGGTCGGGCTGTCGACTTCGAGGTCTGGGTCGATGATCTGCAGCTTTTCCTGCAGTGCGATAGAAAAGATGGTCTCTCACTGTTCGATCTCACGTCTATTCGGTTTCCACCGAATTGCTTCCTACTAAGTTCGGGAAGGTTCTGTTCAGGACGCTTCGCGACCCTCAGAACTTCCGCGTAACAATTGGGTAACTGGCCTTGTGTCGAGACTATATATAGCTTCGTGTTGTACCCAGGTGAATCATTCAATTCAAACTCTCTTTTCTGAGCTCGATCCTAGATCCTTACACTTGGTAAACAGAGCCTGTTTGCACGAGAAGTTTTTCGACCGCTAAATCCTAGATGTTAAAACCGCGGAGGCGAAAACGGAAAGCGCCGATTTCGGGTACGTAAACCAGGGCGATGTTCGGCAGCACAGGGGATCCACCGAGGGATAGAGGGAGGGATCGAAATTCTCAGCTAGGGTTTCTAGTTCGGGGTGGTCAACTCGGAGTCAACCAGCGTTGACTCCAAGTCTGGGGTCCAGGCGCAAACGGAACCTTTGGGGGAAAAGGCGCGGATGAGCGACGCGGGAATTGGGGGCCCACAAAACTGCAGTCGCACGAAACGAAACTTCGCGAGCTGAACAGTTTTTCTTCTCCCTGCCTCATTTTACTGTTGCGATGGGATAGGGTATATCACTTCCCGACAACATTTAACACCATAAATTAAAATGAATCTCTTAAATGTCGTACTCACCCATTTGACCTTATTGAATACAGCTGTTTTGCAATACATTTCCGATGTCCGGTTTACCCGTCAGTTTAGAGTGTGGGGTACAATCATAAAACAATTTCGTGGTTAAAGTTGCGGTCTACATACTAAGTTGCGTTTTTGGGGGTATTGTCGATGCACACCCTTTCACGCAGCCTGATTGGGAAGCGAATTCAACTCGTTTCTGAAACACAGGAGCGATGAAGTCAAGCAAGCACGCGAATCCAACCCATTTTCGTGGGTTGGGGGAAGAGTCCGCGGAAGGGCGGAAACCATATCGGGAAAGGGACCCCCACCCCCCTCTCTCCACCCCCCTCAACCGTTCTATTTGCAGGCTAAGGGGCCGAGTGAAAAACCTGGTCACCTGGTTTTCAAGTGATAAACCAGACCCCCCCGCTCGAAGTATGTAAATCGCAGCTTTAAAACCGGAGGGCCAAGAAGGCCCAAATTGCCTCAACCTTCCTAACCTTGGTTAAGTTTGGCACTCGCACCCAAAACCTTAGCCAATTGTGTTGCTCACTCCAACCAAGCTTCCTAAGGTTGAAGTTCTTGGTCCGCGGGTTTTAAAGCCCAAGACCTGAATTACAAACTAAAAAAGGCAAACTGTGCACAGTTTGCCTTCCGAGCCCAAAGTTGACCTCCCGAGCCAGGATGGTTACCAGACAGGCGTCGCATCCCATAAGGACTGCGTCGTATATCAGAACGCGTCTACTTGGCGACAGTCCCAACCACCCTTTGCCCAAGGAAGAAGGGAACTGCCTGTGCACAGTTTGCTTGAAAATGGTAATTCAGGAAAGGCTGTGCGGCTACTACTCGAGACTCTAAGCTTTTGCCCGTAGCAAATTCCTACCTTCAACCCCGTTGCTCCGCGAGAGCTGTTATTGCGACGGCCCAAGCGTGAAAGGCTTGAAGCGCATATTACGAGACGTCGCTCCTTTCCGTCTCAAAAGGTGAACCTCGCTATCCCCTCACATCGTCCTCCCCCTCCACACACCGTCAGCCTCGCTTCCCACGTGGTCCCCGTTGCCATTGCCCTCCCATCGCCCTTACCCCTATCCCCTCCCATCGCTTCCTCGTGGTCGTCGCCGTGCCCCCTGGCATTGCTTCGCGAACCACTCCGCCACCACCCACTTTCGACGTAGTCGTGTCTCCACCACTCTATCCTGACACGTTTTCTCACTCGGAAAGCCCGTGCACACCCCCACGGGTCTCCTCCCTGCGCGCGCTCCTTTCTGGTAAGCCCGCGCGGCATCCTCTCGCCACCCCGCGCGCACTCTTCTCGCCTCCCCGCGCGCGCTCCTCTTGCCTCCCCGCGCGGCCTCCTCTCACCATCTCGCGCGTGCTCCTCTCGCCTCCCCTCGCGTGCTCCTCTCGCCTTCGTAGCGCGCGAATCTCTTGCCTCCCCGCGCGGCCTCCTCTCACCTCGTCGCGCGTCCTCCTCTCGCCTGCCCCACGCGTGCTTCTCTCGCCTCCCCGCGCGTGCTCCTCTCGCCTCCCCTCGCGTGCTCCTCGACCCCCCCCGCGCGCGCGGCTCTTGCCTCCCCGCGCATCCTCCTCTCGCCTCACCTTGCGTGCTCCACTCGCCTCCCCGCGTGTGTTCCTCTCTCCTCATCTTTCGGCGTGACCGCGCCACCGCGCGCGTGCGCCTCTCTCCATGCCTTGCGTAATCTATCGCCTCCCCGCGCGTGCTCCTCTCTCCTCACGTTGCTTGCTTCTCTCGCCTTCCCATGCGTGCTCCTCTCTCCTCACCCTACGTGCTCCTCTCGCCTCCCCGCGCGTGCTCCTCTCTCCTCACCTTGCGTGCTCCTCTCGCCTCCCTGCGCGTGCTCCTCACCCTCTCCCCCTATCCATCCTGAAACGTCGTCGTGCCTCATTGCGACGCTTGCGTTCACCACTCCGCGACCACCCACTTTCGACGTATGCGTGTCCCCACCACTCCCCACTATCCTGACAGGGGCCCCGACGTTTCCTCACTCGGGAAGCCCGTGCACACGCCCACGTTTCTCCTCCCTGCGCGCCCTCCTTTCTCGTAAGCCCGCGCGCCATCCTCTCGCCTCCCGCGTGCGCTCTTCTCGCCTCCTGCGCGGCATCCTATCGCCGCCCCGCGCGCGCTCCTCTTGCCTCCCCGCGCGTCCTCCATTCACCTTGCGTGCTCCTCTCTCCTCACCTTGCGAAGCTCCTCTCTCCTCACCTTGCGTGCTCCTCTCGCCTCACCTTGCGTGCTCCTCTCTCCTCCCCTTGCGTCCTCCTCTATCCTCACCTTGCGTGCTCCTCACTCCTCACCTTGCGTGCTCTTCTCTCCTCACCTTGCGTCCTCCTCCTCTCCTCACCTTGCGTCCTCCTCTCTCCTCACTTTGCGTGCTCCTCTCTCCTCACCTTGCGTGCTCCTCGCTTCTCACCTTGCGTCCTCCTCTATCCTCACCTTGCGTGCTCCTCACACCTCACCTTGCATGCTCTTCTCTCCTCACCTTGCGTCCTCCTCTCTCCTCACCTTGCGACTGCCTCTCTCCTCACCTTGCGTGCTCCTCTCTCCTCACCTTGCGTGCTCCTCTCGCCTCCCCGCGCGTGCCCCTCTCTCCTCACCTTGCGTCCTCCTCTCTCCTCACCTTGCGTGCTCCTCTCTCCTCCCCTTGCGTGCTCCACTCTCCTCACCCTGCGTCCTACTCTCTTCTCACCTTGCGTCCTCCTCTATCCTCACCTTGCGTGCTCCTCACTCCTCACCTTGCGTGCTCTTCTCTCCTCACCTTGCGTGCCCCTCTCTCCTCACCTTGCGTCCTCCTCTCTCCTCACCTTGCGTGCTCCTCTCTCCTCAACATGCGTGCTCCTCTCTCCTCCCCTTGCGTGCTCCTCTCTCCTCAGCTTGCGTGCTCCTCTCTCCTCACCTTGCGTCCTCCTCTCTCCTCCCCGCGTGTGCCCCTCTCTCCTCACCTTGCGTCCTCCTCTCTCCTCACCTTGCGTGCTCCTCTCTCCTCACCATGCGTGTTCCTCTCTCCTCACCTTGCGTGCTCCTCTCTCCTCACCTTGCGTGCTCCTCGCTTCTCACCTTGCGTCCTCCTCTATCCTCACCTTGCGTGCTCCTCGCTCCTCCCCTTGCGTGCTCTTCTCTCCTCACCTTGCGTCCTCCTCTCTCCTCACCTTGCGACTGCCTCTCTCCTCACCTTTCGTGCTCCTCTCTCCTCACCTTGCGTGCTCCTCTCGCCTCCCCGCGCGTGCCCCTCTCTCCTCACCTTGCGTCCTACTCTCTCCTCACCTTGCGTCCTCCTCTCTCCTCACCATGCGTGCTCCTCTCTCCTCACCATGCGTCCTCCTCTCTCCTCACCTTGCGTGCTCCTCACTCCTCACCTTGCGTGCTCCTCTCTCCTCACCTTGCGTCCTACTCTCTTCTCACCTTGCGTCCTCCTCTATCCTCACCTTGCGTGCTCCTCACTCCTCACCTTGCGTGCTCTTCTCTCCTCACCTTGCGTGCCCCTCTCTCCTCACCTTGCGTCCTCCTCTCTCCTCACCTTGCGTGCTCCTCTCTCCTCAACATGCGTGCTCCTCTCTCCTCCCCTTGCGTGCTCCTCTCTCCTCAGCTTGCGTGCTCCTCTCTCCTGACCTTGCGTGCTCCTCTCGCCTCCCCGCGTGTGCCCCTCTCTCCTCACCTTGCGTCCTCCTCTCTCCTCACCTTGCGTGCTCCTCTCTCCTCACCATGCGTGCTCCTCTCTCCTCACCTTGCGTGCTCCTCTCTCCTCACCTTGCGTGCTCCTCGCTTCTCACCTTGCGTCCTCCTCTATCCTCACCTTGCGTGCTCCTCACTCCTCACCTTGCGTGCTCTTCTCTCCTCACCTTGCGTCCTCCTCTCTCCTCACCTTGCGACTGCCTCTCTCCTCACCTTGCGTGCTCCTCTCTCCTCACCTTGCGTGCTCCTCTCGCCTCCCCGCGCGTGCTCCACTCTGACAGGGCAGGGTGCTCCTCTCTCCTCACCTCCCGGGTTTTGCTCTGACAGGTGGGGTGCTCCTCTCTCCTCCCCTCCCGTGCTCCACTCTGACAGGGCAGGGTGCTCCTCTCTCCTCACCTCCCGTGCTCCACTCTGACAGGGCAGGGTGCTCCTCTCTCCTCACCTCCCGTGCTCCACTCTGACAGGGCAGGGTGCTCCTCTCTCCTCACCTCCCGTGCTCCACTCTGACAGGGCAGGGTGCTCCTCTCTCCTCACCTCCCGTGCTCCACTCTGACAGGGCAGGGTGCTCCTCTCTCCTCACCTCCCGTGCTCCACTCTGACAGGGCAGGGTGCTCCTCTCTCCTCACCTCCCGTGCTCCACTCTGACAGGGCAGGGTGCTCCTCTTTCCTCACCTCCCGTGCTCCACTCTGACAGGTGGGGTGCTCCTCTCTCCTCACCTCCCGTGCTCCACTCTGACAGGGCAGGGTGCTCCTCTCTCCTCACCTCCTGTGCTCCACTCTGACAGGGCAGGGTGCTCCTCTCTCCTCACCTCCCGTGCTCCACTCTGACAGGGCAGGGTGCTCCTCTCTCCTCACCTCCCGTGCTCCACTCTGACAGGGCAGGGTGCTCCTCTCTCCTCACCTCCCTTGCTCCACTCTGACAGGTGGGGTGCTCCTCTCTCCTCACCTCCCGTGCTCCACTCTGACAGGTGGGGTGCTCCTCTCTCCTCACCTCCCGTGCTCCACTCTGACAGGTGGGGTGCTCCTCTCTCCTCACCTCCTGTGCTCCACTCTGACAGGTGGGGTGCTCCTCTCTCCACACCTCCCGTGCTCCACTCTGACAGGTGGGGTGCTTCCGGACCTGTTGTTTAGTTCCTGAACTGCCCACCCTCACCTTCACAGCCAACTCAATTCAATGACCTGCGTAATCCGATAGTTCTCCCCCCCCCCCCCCCCCCAACCCATTCACTCCCTAACCCCTCCCTCTCCCTTCTTGTTTTCTGCCTGATGTTCCCTTTTCTCACCCTCTAAACCAGTCCACCTCATCAGCCATGTCTTCATGGAGACGTACTCCTCGGAGACGGCTGACGCTTGGATTCAGGGTTGGGGAGGAGGGTTCCGAGGGTTCCGAGGAGGGAGGGATGGTTATCGGGTACGATTTATTGTGTACATGTGTTCCTCTTTTTACACAGTCTGCAATAGTTTGACATGTGGATGGATGACCATCCAGCTATGATGGATAGATCAATGAAGCAGCCCTATGTGTGCAGTCAAGTATGTTATTTGATGGGGGAGGACATGTTTCACTTCTCAGCTTCTAGCCATGGGGGAGCGTGTTGCGTCCTTTGCCTACACTACTTGTGAAAAAACGGCATCCTCACGTGCACGGGATTAGTGCGAGGCAAGCACACGCTTAGAGTTGCACGTGAACACGTGTAGGTGCAGTGATGAATGGGGCTGATGGTGACTTGGCTGATGTCCAACGCTGCTTGCCCTTGCCCTTGCGGATCTGAGCACAGAGAGAGGCGGGAGGGTCGAGACAGGTGGAGAGAGGTGGAGACAGGTACTACGGAAACAAGTTTGCAAAAAGTGGTGCCGAGTGCATGTATCAGGCCAGACAGTACACTTGGGAGTGTGTCTCAGTGTAGTGCATGTGGTGCGGACAGAGCAGCCACGGCGAGCGGAACGTGCACTACGGACAGCATGAGCAATGCAGAGCAGACAGTGCAATGACTCACCTCCCGTGAGAGGAAGGGTGGATGAGAGGAAAGGAGGATGAGAGGAGGGGGGGATGAGAGGAAGGGAGGACGAGGGGAACAGAGGATGAGATGAAGGGCGGTTGTGGGGAAGGGGGGATGAGATGAAGGGCGGATGAGGGGGGTGGCGGATGAGATGGAGGGAGGATCTGAAGAAGGGTGGATGAGAGAAAGGAGGATGAGAGGGAGAGACGATGAGGAGGAGAGAGGATGAGAGCGTGAAGGGCGGATGAGAGGAAGGGCGGATGAGAGGAAAGGAGGATGGGAGGAAAGGTTGGATGAGAGGAAGGGGGGACGAGTGGAATGGCAGGGGAGAGGAAGGGAGGATGAGAGAAAGGGAGTATGAGAGAATGGGAGAATGAGAAGGAGAGAGGTTCAGAGAGAAGGGCGGATGAGAGGAAGGGCGGATGTGGGGATGGGAGGTTGACAGGAAAGGAGGATGAGAGGAGGGGAGGACGAGGGGAACAGAGGATGAGATGAAGGGCGGATGTGGGGAAGGGAGGATGAGATGAAGGGCGGATGAGGGGAATGGAGGATGAGATGAAGGGCGGATGAGGGGGAGGGAGGACGCGAAGAAGGGTGGACGAGGGTAAGGAGGATGAGAGGGAGAGACGATGAGAAGGAGAGAGGATGAGAGCGTGAAGGGCGGATGAGAGGAAGGGCGGATGAGAGGAAGGGCGGATGAGAGGAAAGGAGGATGAGAGGAAAGGAGGATGAGAGGAAGGGGGGATGAGAGGAAGGTTGGATGAGAGAAGGGAGGATGAGATGAAGGGCGGTTGAGGGGGAGGGCGGATGAGGGGGAGGGAGGACGAGAAGAAGGGTGGATGAGAGGGAGGGCGGACGAGGGGGAGGGCGGATGAGGGGGAGGGCGGATGAGGGCGTGTGGCGAAAGAAGGGTAGGGAGGACGAGTGGAAATGAGGACGATAGGAGGGGCGGAGAGAGGGAGAGAGGATGTGAGAGAAGGGCGGACGAGAGGAAGGGCGGATGAGAGGAAGGGAGGATGAAGGGAATTGTGAGCGACAGGTAGCGAAATGTGGGCGACGGGGAGGGAAACGAGGGCGACGAGAGGGGAAATGAGGGCGACGGGAAGGGAAATGTGGGCGATGAGAGGGGAAATGAGGGCGACGGGAAGGGAAATGTGGGCGACGAGAGGGGAAATGAGGGCGACGAGAGGGGAAACGAGGGCGACGGGAAGGGAAATGTGGGCGACGGGGAGGGAAATGAGTGCGACGGGAAGGGAAATTAGTGCGACGGGAAGGGACACGAGGGCGACGGGGTGGGAAATGAGTGCGACGGTAAGGGAAATTAGTGCGACGGGAAGGGTAATGAGGGCGACGGGAAGGGAAACGAGGGCGACGGCAAGGGAAGTGAGTGCGACGGGAAGGGAAATGGGGCGACGGGAAGGGATTTGTGGGCGACGGGTCCGGTAATGTGGGTTCTCGGGAAGGGAATTGAGGGCGACCGGACTCGGGAAGTGTGGGCGACTCGAAATATGGGATACGAGGGCGACGGGACGCGAAATGGGGGCGACGGGAAGCTGAAATGTGGGCGACGGGAAGCTGAAAATGAGGGCGACGGGGGGCTGAGATGAGCCCGACGGGAGGCTTCTCACCATGCGCTATGTGAAAGGCAGGCGCTCGCAATCGGCGGGGAGGGGACTTTCCCGGGCAGGGCGGGAGGCTTGATGCTGAGAGCGCCTCGAGCGCGTGGGAGTCTAAGCTGCACCGACGGGTGGCGTAACAAGGCTATGTGGGGCAGACCGATGGATATGTCCGCCCTGTTCCCTATGTGTTGAGGGCGATGTCGAGGGCGCTTGTTTTAGCCTACACTTTTCGAGTACCGCTGAAAATCGCTAGGTCAGGCCTTGATGTGTTAGGCTAACTCACGTGCGACCTTGCGTTTAGTAACGCCATTGCCCTCCACACCCTAAAAATCGCACTTTTCCGGTACAGTCATTGCGGACATTCGCTCCCAACGGCTCCTCCTCGTATTTATAGAGGCTAAGGTCGCGCCTCGCTGAAGGGGACTTGTTATGTTTGTTCGAGTGCCTGTAATTCCCTATTCAAACTGTGCACACTTTCCCTGGGATGTTGCTTCTCAGGTCTGTCGAACTTGGAAGATGGGCCCTGCCTGATTTTTCCAACCAATCAGCAAGTGCACAGTTTGTGGCGAACTGTATTCAGTCGCAAGCTGGTTTTGGTTTTTCGCGTGTCACTCAACCCATCCGAACCTCTAACTGGCAGCCCGCCGAACCTAGAAATACTCAGTTGACTGCCGTTGAGTAATTCAGGTCTTGGGCTTTAAGGGGATCCATTTTGCATCCCCCGTGGGGGAGGCCACTCACGGGAGTGCAATTTGGATTCCCTGGGCACTAGGGCGGATTTTTTCCGCCATGGGGGAGGTTTTGGGGGCGGATGCGGCGTGGGTTACCACCTAGCGTGGTGTTCGCGTCGCGTTTTAGGCTTACGTTCGACATTTTTTTCACATTTTTCTAGCCTGACCGAAGTGTTTTGCCTGGTTCGTACTGGTCGAGCCTGGAGGCTCGCCATTTTGATCCTCCATCAAACCCCCTCCCCTGGCTGCCGAACATTGCCCAGTTCCGCGCTATTTTCTAACGTCCCCCTCGAACTGGTTTTCGAACACTCCTCACGTCCAGTGGCGAAAAAGTTGAAATTTCGACCGTCAGATCGATTCGAATCTCAACGGCCCTGAGAATTTCGCCCAAATAGGTTGGAATTGGGAGCGTCGGATCGAATTTCTTCTCAACGGCCGAGATCGGACGCGAATTTCAGCTGAGGGAGAACTGCGCGACCAACAGAAAAAGCGCTCGTTATTTCTACATTCGATTCGACTCGCAGTGAGTGAACCAGCGCCAAAACATTAATTATTTTCGTCGCACATCTTCCTGTAAAATCGCCAAATGGAGGAAAATGGTGATAATTCTGTATGAAAAAATACGGAGTTACACACCGGCCTGGACCAGACGCGGGCAGCACTCCAGCGAATAGAGGAGCTTCTTGCGAACCAGTCGGCAGCCGCCACGGCGGCAGCGAACGCAGCGGCGAATGCAGCAGCGACGTCAGCAGCAGCGGCGGCGACACCGACACTTCACCCAGCAGCAGCGGCAGCGGCTACAGTGAATCTTGAGGCGGCACGTCCGAGGCTACCAGATACGTTCAATCCGAATGCAAGAGACACCGACGTCCGTCGATTCATTGCGACACTCGAAATTTACTTCGATGCCGTTGGCTGTACGACCCCGACACACGACGCAATGCGGATTCGGCTCGCAGCGACACTGTTACGAGGCCCGGCGCTCGAGTGGATTTACAATAGCAACGAAGTCCGAGGCAAGGGGTCATGGACGCAGTTTCGGGAAGCTATTCAACGTTTCGAACCAATCAACTCCAGCTACATGGCGCGGCAGCAGATTCATCAGCATAAACAGTTCGGCAGTGTAACACAGTACACGCAGCAGATGGAGAGCCTCTTCAACCGAATAACGGACCTGACCAAAGGGGAAAAAATCCAAGCGTATACTGAGGGGCTAAAAATGGAAGTCCGCCGACAGGTGATTGCCGCAAACTACAACAACTACCGCGACATGGTGTGTACAGCAGAGAGATTCAATGCGCTGACGCGAGGTCAACCCGAGACACGACGCCACGTGCCGAACCGATCATTTGGCATGAAGCGATCGGCACCACACACGACCGCCAACCCGATGGATATCGACAAGATCGACGCGAAGCAGCTGCCGACAATATATGAGAACTGTGAATTTTGCGGCGCAGCAGGACATCGACTCTTGGCGTGTTGGAAAATGAAGAAGGCACGAGCGGAGCTGAAGGGCAACAACAGTGCAGCACCCCCGAAGTCAAAAGTCATGGCGATTTCGGAGCGGGCGAAAAAAGGAGGACACGATGGCGCGAATTTAAAACGTCACGACCGGCCAGCAACAGGGGAAATCGCCGAGACAAATGGAGGCTCCGCGAAACAAGACTCTACACCGACCGGGAAACTCCAGCCGAACACCCCCGAGAGTAACAATATTTCCTCTCAAGGTTTTCAAGCCTTTATAACATTCAGGGGAGATTTCAAGGCCAAGAAAAAGCCTTTAGACATTATTCGGGTATCTGAGAAGTTGGGCAAACCACTCCGGAGCGTTGAAAAGGGTCGTGCGTTTCAAGGAGTTAATATTCTCTCCCCGCAGCACAGTGTTAAGGCTCCCCATTGCCCACAGGAGAAGCCTACACAGCTGCAAAGGCTTAGGGGAAGGTTCCATGTCCAGACGAAGTTGAATCGGCCTCGGATAAATCCTTCTAACCCTACTCAGTTGAAAACTGATATGGAGTCAGCAGCTTCGAGCGCAGGACCGAGGGATAATCTATTCGACGTACCCTACGATCATATAACCGAGACCATCTACGGTTACTCGGAGCAGCAAAAACCACTTCTACTCGAGGTGATCTGCAACAGGCGACGCCTCCAGGCACTGGTGGACAGCGGTGCATCTCACTCGGTGTGCGACCGCGGGACATTGGAGAAAATTGGAGAATCTTCGGAGGAGACCAAGTTCACGGCAACAATGGTGGACGGTACGAAACTTCCCATCCACAGCGAAGCATCACTGCAGCTGCACATAGGGGCGCTGAGATGGAAGCCGATGTTGCCGATCACGAACATCAAGGGATCAGATTTTATCTTGGGGCGAGATTTCCCGAAGCGGTTCAACCCCGAGATCGACTGGATCAACAGGAAGGCGTGCATCTACAACAACGGGAAACGAGTAGAGCTGCGAAGCTGGACAGATACAGGGAGCGTTCCTGAAACGACACTGGCACGGTTCGAACGGACGGTGAACGAGAGTAACGCGGGCTACCTAGCACTGGTTATGGCAGCGGTAGAGGAAGAGAAGCCGAACACAGAGCTACCTGCAGCAATGAAGGAGGTCTTGGAGCAGTGCAAGGATATAATGCCCAACGACCTACCTGCAGGTGTACCTCCAGCACGCACCCACGAGCACGAGATCGTGGAGGAACCAGGTGCGAAACCCGTCTCACGTGCACCATACCGACTGAGTCTGACAGGATTGACGGACATGAAAAAACAGATAGAGTATCTACTGGACAGACAACTGATCCGCCCATCCACCTCTCCCTACGGTGCACCAGTCCTCTTCACTCCAAAACCAGACGGCAGTTTACGGATGTGCATCGACTACCGCGCACTGAACAAACAGACAGTTAAAAACAAATACCCCATACCGCGCATAGACGACCTACTAGACCAACTGCGTGGTGCAACACTCTTTTCGAAGCTGGACCTACGGTCGGGCTACTGGCAGATCAAGATGGCGGACAGCTCGATCCACAAGACGGCGTTCCGTACCAGATACGGCTCCTACGAATACTTGGTGATGCCGTTCGGACTCTGCAACGCACCAGCAACGTTTCAGGCGGAGATGAATCACATCCTACGGCCCGTGCTGGACGAGTGCGTGGTGGTGTACCTGGACGACATTCTTATCTACTCCAAGAACATGAAGGGGCACGTGGACCATCTACGGCAGGTGTTCGAGATCCTGCGGAAAAACAAGTTCTACGTGAAGCTGTCGAAGAGCGACTTTGCAGTGAAGAAGGTACAGTTTCTCGGGCACATGGTGAGTGCCGAGGGCGTGCACGTGGACCCGTGGAAGATCAAAGCCGTCAAGAAGTGGAAAGTCCCGAAGAATGTGAAGGAGTTGCAGCAGTTCCTAGGCTTCGCCAACTACTACAACAGGTTCGTGCCGCAATACGCTAAGATAGCAGCGCCACTGACCGACCTACTGAAAAAGGATATGCCCTACAAATGGGATACTCCTCATCACCAAGCCATGGAGCAGTTACAGACAGCACTGACTACAACGCCAGTACTCATCCTACCGGACCCAGACAAGGACTACGTGGTGGAAGCAGACGCTAGTGACCAAGCAGTCGGAGCAGTACTGATGCAGGATCATGGGAACGGTTTACAGCCTATCGCCTACCTCAGTAAAAAACTACACGGAGCAGAACTGAACTACCCCATTCACGACAAGGAAGCCTTAGCTATAGTCGTAGCCTTCAAGGCGTGGAGGTGTTACCTAGAGGGAGCCAAGACTACAGTCTATACTGACCACTGCAGTCTCAAATACCTGAAGTCGCAGCCGACGCTCTCACGACGACAGGTGCGGTGGGTGGACTTCCTGGAAACTCACTTCCACTACGACATCGTCTACAAGCCCGGGCTACACAACAAAGCAGACGCGTTGAGCCGCCCGGTCATGTAGCAGGCATCCAGCTCGACGGGATGAACCCTCTGCTCAAGGGTCTATTCCAACATGGATACTCCGTGGATGCAGAGATTGCTGCAGCTCATACTAAGAAGCTGTTACAGTGGGAGAAGGACTTAGCTGCAAGGAAGGGCACAGGAAAGATTTGGGTACCGAATTACGCCCCGCTACGGCAGATCCTATTGGAGGAGTTTCACGGCGTACCATACGCGGGACATTTCGGGAGCAACAAGACGTTAGCGGGAATAGCAAAGTATTATTACTGGCCTGGGATGGCAGCAGACGTGCAGCAGTTCGTCACC